ATGACTGAAATTAATAATTGATTTTAATTCTAAAGGCATGTGTTTTTCTGGCGGCAGTCGATGATTTAGGGAAAATATTATCTAGAATGACATTACAAACGAAATTATCTATCGGCTCATAATTATGGAATCTATGGAATATATATGCATATATGGAATCAATAGGCTCACCCCCTATTACATGGGACTCATAACATAAATAGTGAAAAGTGGGTGTTACATTGTACAGTGGTATTAAGTGCCGTAATGTGCACCTCTGCCTACCCCTTCGGGGATAAAAGGCGTGATGTTATGTTATGTCATATATGGAAATCTCAGTCTGGATTGAGTTATGAGCGTTGAAAGGAGCTGGAGTCAAACTGACACTGGCAGTATAGTCGACAATATCATATTAGAGCCTCGGCTGCCAAAGAAGAGAAAAAAAAATGGATAAATCGATCATTAATTTCGGCTTTAAATTGCAGTTGTAACTTAGATGTTATATTATTGACAATGTTGTATGTTTTTAAATAAATTATGTAAAATAAACAATGTAATAAATATGTAGTTGTTGTTTTATTTATGACTAGTGACCCGCCCCGGCTTCGCACGGGTGCAATATGCATATATTATACACATGAACTTTCCTTAAGAATCACTCTACCTATTAAAAAAGCCGCATCTAAATCCGTTGCGTAGTTTTAAAGATCTAAGCATACATAGGGACAGACAGACGGCGGATAGCTACTTTGTTTTATACTATGTAGTGAAGTACCACAATTTTATGGATTAAGCCGGTAAACGAGCAGGGTCACCTGATGGTAAGCAATCGGCGTCTCCCATGGTACACACGCAACACCAGAGGCGTTACAAGTGCGTTACCGGCCTTATAATGGATTAGGAATTGGAATTATTGTTCAAGAATTGGGCCTCCGGTAACTTCACTCACACAAACAACACGGTTTTGGGGATCACACTAGCCGGTGAATTCGTACCGAAACGGAACTCCTGCGTGATAAAATCACCTACTACTTCAACTCTTACAGTCCCCTTCTGTCCACTGTCTTCCACAGTCCTCCCCTGCAGACACCTCGCGAGGTTGGAAACGACCTGCATACAGCAACGAACTATCTCAGCTAGTGACACTAATGGCAATAAATGCCGCGGAGAACCTAACGGGTTACCGGGGCACCGACTCGAAGTGCAGGAGTAGGAACGGGGTGGTTTTTAGTCAGTAAGAGTCTGACACTCCCTCTCGCCTCACCCGGGATGCGGGATGCGGGAGAAGGCTTTGGATGATTTTCCCCCCTCAAAAAAAAGTCATGCTAGATGCTCATATCCTTGAGCAGCAGTCCGCGGCCCGCGCCGCGGCGACTGTCGCTGCTACTGGTTGCTAGAGACGCCCTCTGCCGTGATCCAAGCAACCTCTATCCGTGGTATCGATATTTATCGCGGCTGCTGGTGGTGCCGCGGGCGCGCACCAACCTGCTGGGGCGCGCGCCGCTCACTCGTGCTTTGCGCACTCTTAACACGGTGGCTGATGTCGTAGACATATTTAACTGTACACTAAGCGAGTTCACAAGGACCACTTATTCTATAGTGTGTAAGGAAATATAGTTTGCAGTTAAAATTTTAATAAGTTTATAGTTAAATATAGTTCATAGTTAATAGTTTAGGAAACATATTTTAAGTTACTATGTCGAATTAGGTTAAGTTATCTGTAATGGCAAAGTAATTGTATTAAAATAAATAAATAAATAAATAAATTATTGAAAAGTTGTTTTTTATTGAACTAAATAATATCCTAAAAAAATCGTACGAAATTGAACATAGAGCATGGAACAGGCTGCCAGAATATGTAATCGCTGCACAGAATGTTAACCAGTTCAAAAACAGACTTGACAGATACACAACATCGAATTAACCACTGATAGAAGAATACGATACAGGCATTTATCAGTTGTTTCAACTGCCTGTCTGAATTAAATAAATAATAATAATAAAATTGAAGCCGGGAGCCTGGGTGAGGCGGGAGGAATAATCAACCACCAGGTTTGTGTGCCAACCACCACAGAATCACAACCACGGCGTATGCGGAACCGCTGGAAACTCCTGTCTCGTGAGTTATGAAAATAGCTAAATCTCCATTCCGCCACCATGACAGGTGCGGGTGCAAATCGCGTCATGAGTCCATAGCGTTAGAGTTTGCCCTCCACAAATAACAACCGGGTTGGAGACTGTAGTTTAACAAATCCAGGTTTTTATTTCAAACTGTCAAATACCGCGAGGACACCGGTGACCGCAACCTATTGTTCTTTAATTGTGTCTATAATGATGGTACTCAACGAGTTAAGGGGGGAAATTCATCGAATGACTGTTTCCGTCTGGGTGAAGCGGGAGGGAGTGCCAGACTTTTAATGACTAAAACCACCCCGTTCCTTCTCCTACACGTCGAGCCGGAGCCCCGGTAACCTATTAGGTTCTCCGCGACTCCGAATCGGCATCGGCTCTGTTGGGTCCCATCCGTGGTGGTCTGACGGCTCTTTGAGGCGCGCGCGGAACGCGACGCGCTGTACGCTCATGTCTGTTTCTGGCCATGCCATGCTCACGGTCCGCAGGCCCGCGCTTACGGTGGCCGGAGATCGTCCCGCGATCAACAAATCCAGGTTAATCAGAGAGCGTTGCTACCAAGTCTGTTCACATCAACGTGTTTACCCTTAGTTGGGTATACGACACCCGCGGGAGGAGTAAAGGTGGACATTTGTATTCAATTATGCCTTCGTCACACAGCTAAACTAAAAATAGTACAAAGCGAGTACCTACTTATACCAGTTATTTTCCTTAACATTACATACGTACTTGGCATAGTAATAAATGTCCGTAAGTGAATTACAAGTAGATACGCAGCTCATCAAGCTACACTGTTTCTTTACTTGATTTTCATCTCTATAATGTTGTGAATAAGATTGAAATGTAATATTATTTTGACATGATAAGTGTATTTTTTGATGTGTGTTCACCTGCGTAAATGGCCATAAAGATTAAGATCCTCGGAACGTTTTTTTAATAATAAAGTGTATTTTAGGTACTTACTAATTTACGAACAAAAAGTAGCCTCAAGGGTAAAAACCTAGCTTCACTGACGGACTGACTGACAGACTATTATTTATTTTCTATTTGTTGACGTTTCAAAAGTGCGTTTCAAAAGTAGTTTAACCTCTCGCGTGTTTCTCGTACACACGGGTGTACGAGAAACGCGCACTGATTGGATATTTTTCTGTGACGTATATTTTCAAGTTTGCAACCCGTTCTTTATTTGATTGAACAGAATAGAAATTCGCTTTCTATTAAAATATTTATTCGTGTGTACGAGAAGCGCGCGAGAGGATAATTGAAATAAATGCTTTGACTTGACTTTTGACTTTGAAAACCTGGGTGTCTTCAAGGTCCGAGTGAATAGGTTGCTTATGGGGCGACGTGCTCTATCATAGACCGCATCATCGCTTACTACGACGCGAGATAGTGGTCGTTGTCGGCCCATTGAATATAAAAAGCCTATGTATTATTCAAGACTGTAATTTATCTGTGTGTCATATTTCACGTCAAAGAGAAAAATACGTCCTTTCAAGCTTAGAATTTATAATTTTTTTTAATGGAATACTCCGTTCGCATCACCTTATGGCAAGCAATCGGCGTCGCCCATGGACACTCGAAACACCAGAGGCGTTACAAGTGCGTTAACGGTTTTTTGGGGATTTTTTTTATGGCATGTGCCGGTAAACGAGTAGACGGATCACCTGATGGTAAGCAATCGGCGTCGCCCATGGACACCTAGAACACCAGAGGCGTTACAAGTGCGTCACCGGCTTTTTGGGGATTAGGAGTTTGAAGATCGTTGGGGATTCAGGGATTGGGGAGATTGGGTCTCCGATAACCTCACTTACACGACGAAACACAACGCAAGCGTTGTTTCACGTCGGTTTTCTGCTCGGCCGTGGTATCACTCCAGTCGAGCTGGCCCAATCGTGCTTTATTAGGGGGGAAAAGCCTACTAGCCTACTTATAACCATACCTACGTAAAAGTCAAATTAACAGCCTTATTCTTCTTTTTAAGTCGGTTAAAAACCGCATTAATATCGGTTCTACCAATAGAGACAACATACATCAAAGTCAATTTGCGAACCTCCTTTTTCGAAGTCTTTTTTTTTCGTCTTTGGCAACCGGCCAACCGATTCTCTAATACATCATCATAGTTTGTAAGGTTTTCTTATTCTTATTGTTTATTTTATCCAAGGACTGTTCTGTTTTGTTTTTTTTTATTTTTATAATTATTTGAAATGTATAACGCCTTGGATTTATGACTGTAATGTTATACTATTTAATTGAAATAAATAAATCATCATCATCATCATCATCAACAGTCGGAAGACGTCCACTGCTGTACAAAGGCCTCCCCCTTAGTCCTCCACGTCGAACGACAACTCGCCACCTGCATCCACTGGCTCCCCGCAACTCTGGCGATGTCGTCGGTCCACCTAGAAAGGCGTGAGACAGGGAGACGTGATTTCTCCGAAACTGTTCACCAACGCATTGGAGGACGTTTTCAAGCTCTTAAACTGGAGTGGACTGGGCACCAATATCAATGGCGAATACATCACACACCTCCGCTTCGCCGATGATGTAGTCATCATGGCGGAGTCGCTGGAGGACCTAAACACCATGCTCAGCGACCTCGATATCGTCTCCCAACACGTGTGTCTTAAAATGAACATGTACAAGACTAAAATCTCTAATACGGAGTGATTTTATCCGGAAGTCGTTTAGAAATATGACACCAAATTACAACTATCAATCAAATCAAATCAACGTCGCGTCGCGTCGGCACGTTGGCAAAACGTCCGAATGACTCGGTTTAACATGAGAAACGTAGGAAAACAAAAAAACAACAATATAGTAGTAATTTTATTAACAACTTTATCAAACCAGTTTTGTTACTCAGTCACCGTTAGAGTTAACCCCAGTCAGCACAGTACACGCTCCGCGGTAGCTTGTAGCAATAAGTGAAAAAAAAATATACAAATCGAAACCATGTTTAAGTTAAATTACTGTGTTTTAAGCATATTTTTTTTGTTTATAACCGTGCAGTGTTCCTACGATCGTGTCGAAGGTTTGTTATATTGAATTCCTTTAATATTTCTCGTTCAAGTATAATAAGGAATAATTTTTAACAGCTTTACAATGAGCTCTATTCTGCCAATCAAGCTCTTTCGTTTGATATATCCATAATGGATTGCGAAATATTATTTTTTTGTTTCTTGTTGTTTTTTTTATTGATCAATCTTTGTTGTCATATTAAGTATTTCTTCTGTTTGTTCCAATTCTGAGTTCGCCTTAAATAGACTTCTGTTCGTCGCGGAGAACCTAACGGGTTACCGGGGCTCCGCCTCGACGTGCAGGAGAAAGAACGGGGTGGTTTTTAGTCAGTAAGAGTCTGACACTCCCTCCCGCCTCACCCAGGCGAGGAGCAGTCATTAGATGATTTTCCCCCCTTAAAAAAAATATACTTCTGTTTATGGGAAATTTGTATAATTGTGTTTAATTATCTAAACTTAGGCTAATGACTATTCTTGTGCATGATGTGTTAGCCTTTAATTGATTGTTACACTAACTAATGCATATTGTAAACCGATTTGGTGTAATATCATGTGTAAACAGTCGTTGGCTGACCAACCGACCATAAATAAATAAAAAAAATAATGGAGGTTTTTGTGGAAACAATTAGACTATATTGTATGATCATCAAGATTAAGAGTGTGTACCAAATATCAGATCGATCTGTCGCCAGGAAGGGGGGGCATTACAATTTTACTAGACACTCAAACAGAAGAACTAAATTAAAACTGTTTAAAAACTAGCTTCTACCAGCGGTTTCGCTCGCGTTATAAAGTGTTCCTATATATTATTCCATACTATAATCTATCTGTGTACCTAATTTCCTTCTGATCCGTTCAGAAGGGCAAGTGAAAGAGTAACAAGCCGGTCGAGAAGTAGGAAAGATTGTATTGTACCGAGACAAAACCATTTAACTTTTTTTTATGGGATAAGCCCGTAAACGAGCAGACGGGTCACCTGATGGTAAGCAATCGGTGTCGCCCATGTACATCTGGAACACCAAAGGCGTTACAAGTGCGTTACCGGCCTTTTGGAGATTAGGAGTTTGAGGATCGTTGGGGATTCAGGAATTGGGGAGATTGGGGAAGGGGAGGGTAATTGGGCCTCCGGTAACCTCACTAACTCGACGAAACACAACGCAAGCGTTGCTTCACGTCGGTTTTCTATGGGGCCGTAGTATCACTCCGGTCGAGCCGGCCCAGCAGTGCCGAAGCATGGCTCTCACACACTTAAACTTTTTACTTCGGGAAAACAAGGATGTTTTTAAACCACTTCAAAAAAAGACGGCGTGTCTCAATTTAACCTGTATGTATGTTTATTGGCGCCCGGTTGTCTCGCGTTCGCTGAGCCGAATTGATGCGGTTTTCAGGTAAAATGTTTAATATATAATTATTCTTTACTAGCTACTTCTGCGCGGTTTCACACGCTCTGTTTATCTGCTATTGGTCGTAGCGTGATGTTTTATAGCCTGTATCCATCCTCGATAAATGCGCTATCCAACACAAAAATAATTATTCAAATCAGACGGAGATTAGCGCGTTCAAACAAACAAACAAAAAAACAAGAGATTAGCGCGGTCAAACAAACAAACAAACTCTTCCGCTTTTATAACCGTATAAGATAAGATACGAATAAAAAAAATAGTTGGTTTTTTTAAACGTAGTTTATAAGAGAATTATTATTTAATTTACTAGCTTCTGCCCACGGCTTTGCCTGCATTCCCGTGGCATATGCCTATGCCTATTACTCGTCGCGGAGAACCTAACGGGTAACCGGGGCTCTGGCTCGACGTGCAGGAGAAAGAACGGGGTGGTTTTTAGTCAGTAAGAGTCTGACACTCCCTCCCGTCGCACCCAGGCGGGAGCAGTCATTCGATGATTTTCCCCCCTTAAAAACCATAAAGACCATAACCAACCCATGTTTCAAATTTCACACCGATTCCTTCACCGGTTTTGATGTGATTGACTTACAAGCATACACACATACTACCGAACTTTAAGATGTAACATGATGCACACATGCATTGCATCGGTGGACTTCACGGTGTGTCAAATAACCGTGACTATACTAGGAATTTTAATTCGATTCCAGATTTGACAATTTCAGGGTTGCAACGTTATGACAAGTACTAAATAGTGACGTTGCGAAATTATTCGATATGGAAATGGAATATTTCTGGATCGATTCTTCTCGTTTATAATTTTACTCTCGTAAACTAAGTATATCAGGAAATTAAATATTTCTGAACCGATAATTTAATTTTGACGATTAAGTAATAATCTGAGACTTTTCTTTTATAATTGTGTGTGAAATAAATAAAAAATGTAATCATGAAGGAACATGACAAATAAAACAAATAGATGTATTATGGTAACAAGTTATTTTATAAATTGTCGCCGTCATCGCTATCGCTATAGCTGTCACTTTCTGTAACATTTATTATAAAACACACACACTGATTGTTTATCGATTTTTGTGAACATCACTAAACTATTATATGTGGTATCATTATTTCACAAAATGACAGTAGCTATTGTCAAATCTGGAATCTAATTAAAATTCTGACAATGAAACAATAGCTATTCTGAATTCAAACTTACTGCCGTACTCGGATACATTTAGGGCTAACACACATAACGGCGTTGCGGCGCCACGCCGCTTAAATCGGCAGTGACGCTACAGTCGATTCTAGCGGCGCAGCGCCGCAATGCCTAGCGCTCGTTCCAGCATAGCAGAGTAATGTCTTCTTAACCCTAGAAAGATAACCATATTTTGACTGTTACAAAAGATAACCATGCGCTTCGGAGGCGCACAAAATATTAATATATTTTTTATAATGAAATAGCTATTTATTGTATTTACTTGCTTATTTTTTTTGAAATATGTTTCATGAACTAATAATAAAAAACATTTTAAGTGGAATATTTTATATATTTTAAAAATAAAACTTAAATCAAAAAAATCTCTAGAAAAAATTAACAAAATTAGCAGTCTTCTGTTTACAGGAACATAGTATCAAAAAAAAATATTTTTTTTCTTATAAACAAATTAAATCAATTCTTACTAACTAATCAACTAAAAAAATTAGTCAAAACTACAATCGTCAGGCTCAAATTTGGTTTGATAGGCATTCAAAACAAACATCATTTTGGTGTTCGCAGCAAACTATTTTCTTGCTTTTTTTATCTTTGACATTCTTTTTTTTATTAGTGCAAAAGGTGCAATACCGCCTTTTCTTTGCTGGAGGTTCTTTTTCGTTATCTGTATCGTTATGTACAACCGGTTTCGGAAGAATATTAGCGATATTATCTCTCACATGCTTTGGCAAACTAGGAGCTTCCAGTCTTTCCTACATCCACGATTCAGATAGCTGGGCTCTTAAGTTTTTCATATAACCCCTTCTATTTAGAGGCTTTTCAGTTTTAGCAAGAATGTTGTGACAATATATAACATAAGAATTGACGAATGCTATGTTCAGAATGCCATAAAACATACACATTGGCCATCTATTGGTTTTCCTCGAACACGACATTGAAGAACATATTTGGTCGAAATTCCAGTAAGCTCTGAAGATACAGATGGACTTATATCGTCTTCATTTTGTGTATCATTCAATTGTTGTGGCACCTCATCATCTATAAACTCGTCTTCAAAATCACTCTGTATGTCATCTTCACTCAAATTATCTTCTGCCTCACTGTCACTTCCTTGCTCTCGTTCATGCTCGTTCTCTTCCTCTTCAGCGATAAACCTATATATTGCATCATCAGAAAGTGTCCTCCGGCTCGTCATAATGAAAGTGAAAAGATTTTCTACTAAAAACAAAGAAATAAACAGTTATAATAAACATTTTATCAATACATGGTATAAAACAAAGTCGCTTTCGCTGTATGTCCGTATGTATGCTTAGATCTTTAAAACTACGCAACGGATTTTGATGCGGTTTTCTTTAATAGATAGAGTGATTCTTAAGGAAGGTTTGTATGTATAATACATGCATATTGCACCCGTGCGAAGCCGGGGCGGGTCGCTAGTGTAAGTATAAACAAGTTCATACTTTTACTAAAAGTCACACAAAAGATAACCATGCGCCTTTGGAGCGCAACACTTAGTCATAAGTCATAACTGCAAAACTATGGTACTTACCGCGTAAAAACAGCCGTCCCGCGACTAAGTGCACCGACTACTAAGCTAACTTAAAAGGACAGGTAAATACGCGCGCTCATTAGAAAGAGACAGCGATGTTAAACCGACGCGGGCGCCTCTGAAGCGTAGGTTATCTTTCTAGGGTTAAACTGCCAAACACCACGAGGACACCGGTTTAATTGTGTCTATAATGACGGTGACTTAATATCCTGTCCCCTAGATGGGGCAGAGGGCGTCCACTGAAGTTCTCCATCGCGATCTGTCTTGAGCTTCACGCTTCACCTCACTCCACGTCATACCGATGCTCGTCGCTTCGCGTCATAATGACGGTACTCAAAGAGTTTAAGCAATAAGTTTTTCACGATGGTCCATGGCAGAGACACGTCTATCCACAATAAGAAATCACGACGAACTTGTTACCCTACCGACAATAAAACGCTCTTTTTCACGACGCCGCAACGCAAACTACCGATTTTAGCGTTGCGGCAACGTAACGCGGTTGTGTTTCGGCCCTCAGACTACGGACTCACGGCGCGATCTTTTCCCACATCGTGGCGGGAGCGGGAGAAATCGCACCATGAGTCTTTAGGGAACAGAGAGTATATTCCCTAAGATCGGAAAAGGAGGATCCTCCGACCAGGCAAGGTGGCTGTGCCTGGCGGGCTTTATTCCCAACAGTTGTTCGTTGGGATTTTCTATCCGTGTTAATTCGCATGTAAACTTTACTCGTGCGATGTAGGATTTTTGTGATGTCATCCGTTGGAATGTAGTCATCGATATTTGGCGTATGACATGTGTCGCCACAAGTCCATAGGCTTTGTTCTTAGCCTTAATGATAACTTAAACTACTCCTTAGTAACGATTTTCTTCTGAAATCAATTACTAGGGACCCCTAGAATAGAATTTCGGGTTAATAATAACCCGAAACCCTTAATTTTTTAGTGTGGAAGAACCATACATATATAGGATATACATATGTAGGATCAGGAGCACCGAGCGGCGTATCGCCTGGGTTTGGAGTCCCCATTTTGGTGGGATAAACAAGATAAAATTATTAACAAAAATTTATTTACGGAAATCAATAAATCAATAAATACTAACTAAAACTAAGCTAGGGCACACAAAAAATAATACAAGTCAAGTCGACTAACGAACAGACCTATAAGGTCACGGTTCGTACAGTGGCAGCGCCACCCCTGAGAGGTTACAAAGTGTATCGGCTAATGAGCAACAATACAGCTGTGTAGAATATACAGCAGGGCTGTACCGGGTAAACCGACAGTTTTGTCGGGAGCGAGGCTCTAATCGAGTCAGATCCGAAGATGAGACTGCCGGCATAAATCAGTGCAGGCTCTTATATAGGGCGATGCCGAGATGCCCTCTCTTTGCACTCCCTCCACAACAACTCTGTCCAATGGCGCACTTCTGCCACGCGTTTACCAAAAAAACTAACATACTCTAAATCTAATAACATTTAGATAGTTACAATTAACCAAATATTACAAGAATAATTGTCGTAAATAAACAATGATGATTTAACAACGATAAACAGACTTTACAATAATAAGATGACAAGCAGTTATTTGTTTTGAACAGAACCAACAACGTTTAAGTACTTTTATCGAATATGTTGCCAAAATCAATTCGTAGGTAGTCGATAAATCATGTTTCAAATTTACAAAAAGTAATTAGTAATAAAACCTAACATTAAATCAATAATTGGAACAAATTAAATTAATTGCCACAGATTATCTACAATTTCCTTTGGCAACCATCTTCGACATATAGTTAACCATATTTTGCATTTTTTGTATCTGTATGCGTGCCTACTGTCGAATAAATGATTTTTCTTTCTTTCTTTTGGCACTGCTGGTCCGGCTCGACCGGAGTGATCCACGGCCGAGCAGAAAACCGACATGAAACAACGCTTGAGTTGTGTTTCGTCGTGTGTCTATACTTGGCTACTCCTCAATGCCTGAATCCGCAACAATTCTAAAATTCCTAATACCCAAAAGCTGGTAACGCACCTGTAACACATCTGGTGTTCCAGGTGTCCATGGGTGACGAAAATTGACATAAAAAAAGAAAAATCTTAATTTCACAAGTTTAATTTAACTCGTCGAGTACCGGTTTTGTAGACACAATTATAGAACAATAGGTTGCGGTCACCGGTGACCGCTTGGTGTTTGACAGTTTAAACTAGTACAGATACATACAGATAATATTATACACACACAGTTTATAACTGGTGAACCATTGCAAAAAGCAAACTTCGAAAGCGCATACGAACTCATAGTACATTATCAAAACGAAACGCCATCTAATTGTCGAAGAAGTATTTCTCGTCGAGTGGCACGTGCGATGCGAATAGTGCCTACAAATTTACCTCTAGTGTTTCATGTGCGTAGTTCTATGAATATTTTTTTTATCTATATTTTTTTGTTTTTACTTTATACATCGAAAGTACTCGTTATGGTAAGTTGTTTTGCCGCGAGACGAAAATGAAATAGATTTCACGGTGTAGACCAGCAAACGAGCTGATTAGATCAGATTTCTTTATAAAAACTTCCTCATTGATAATGGTGCTCAAAATTAAACTGTTTTTATTCCAAGTCTTCACTTCCTATTTTGTCATTAAATATCTGATGATAAAAGTTGTATTATAATAGCTAAGGAAATTTCTCAATGGTTGGCAGTAGCTACCTGGTGTTGGAGCTAAGGGTACTCTTCAATGATTAACAGTAGCTACCTGATGTTTGAGCTGAGGAAACTCCTTAATGGTTAACAGTAGCTACCTGGTGTTTGAGCTAAGGGAACTCCTCAATGGTTAACAGTAGCTACCTGGTGTTTGAGCTGAGGGAACTTCTCATTGGTTAACAGTAGCTGTCTGGTGTTTGAACTGAGAGAAGTTCTCGATGGTTAACAGTAGCTAGCTTTGCTTCTTGCAAGCAACGAATTAATTGAGCAATTAAAATAGATACAAGGTATTTGAGCTTAGGGAACTCCTAAATGGTTTACAGTAGCTACCTGGTGTTTGAGCTGAGAGAACTTTTCAATGGTTAACGGTAGCTACCTGGTATTTGAGCTTAGGGAACTGTTATGTGGGATCTTGAAGACAAAAACTATTATTTCAATTACTGGAATTTTAATAAAAAAATTATAAAATACAGAGTTAGAAATAGAAAGTTTCCACATCAAAAACGCTTAAACCGAACTAACTCATACATCGCCGGAAATGCTTACGAGGATTTTCAATTGACGTCAATGCATTAAGTAAAACGAAGTAAACAACTGAAGCTGGCTCAGCAGTTTACTTAGCCTTGGTATAGCAACGTGATGCTGATATAACAGAACTCCTAAATGGTTAACAGTAGCTACCTGGTGTTTGAGTTGTGTGTAACACTAGAGTTAAAAGTGCGTCTCCAGCCTTTTCCACCAGCCACGGGCTGGTGCTGAACATCAGCGCCGTGACTCGAGCTATCGTGCTAGCGTCATGGCATTTTAATTGAGCACTGGCCATGGTGCACCTTGTACACAGTTCTGTTTTTTAAAACTGTTTCTTGTTTTTTTTTTCATTTTGTATCTGTGCTAATTCATTAATTCATCTCTAATTTTTTTCTTTCTTCTCGTTTTTGACTCGACTTCGAATTGACGATAGAATATGTGAAAGCTTGTAAGCATACAGTATGGATGTATGAATGTATATCTACGTGTTTATTACTCTTACACTACTGAACCGAACTGAATAAAATTTGATACAGGGATAAAAATATAGTCTGTAATAACTTGTAGGCTAGTTTTTATCCTAACAATGTAGGTTAAGCCAATATTTATAAAACAACTGTATATTATATACAGTGGCTCATAATCCTACTCCAATTTATCAGTGTTTGTCATTGGAATTTCGGCATTATATCTAAATAGTAGAATTGAAAATCTAATAAAGACATTTGATTGAGGAGATTAGGTGGACCTGAGTGCTTTCTCTCGAAACCAACCTCAATGTCAATGCGATTTCAAGCCAATAAAATCTCAATAATTATTCAATGTCAACACAACACTATACAACAACAATCGTAGCTGTTAAAATAGCTTTCAGAGTACGGAATATAAAGCCAAACTCAATACCATTTAGTTCATTCAATATCTACGCAATACGGACGCAATGGGCGCTAGTGTTGCAACTAAAGAGTACGAAAGTTAACAATACCAATGTCGATCGATCGGAATTGGTTTCATGAGTAAGCACCCTGCTGCTCACTGGACATTGGCGCCATTTAAGAAAATAAATTGAATTCAAACTCAAAAGCATTTATTTCAATTAAACCATAATTTGGTACTTTTGAAACGTCAACAAATATGAAATAAATAATAGTCTGTCAGTCTGTCCGTCAGTGAAGATTCGCTGGTTCCAAAATGTCGATTCGAGTGGAGAAGAAGGAGCAAGAAACTCCATTCTTTACTCTTTTAACAAAAAGTCTGTTTTTACACTGCTCTGATACATATTCCAATATTGTACACACATGTGAGAATAATGTAAAGACATACCTGACGCATCATACAAATAACAGAACGTACTAAAATAAAAAAACAAAACCAAGAGAAAACAAATATGTTAAGTCTGACATGGTCTTCACCACGTCCTCACATATGTATACTACAATCCATATAAAATAGTACTTCTATACAAGAAAAATAAATGAACTCTTGTTTAAACAAAGAAAGAAATGCTTGATGCCACATGAAAAATAGATTGCCTTCATCGGAATCAAAGTATTAAATTGTCTCCATTTCTAGGAGAACGATGTGAAACTGAGCAAGGTGTCGGCAAATGCGTCCATGTGTTCAGATGTCTGTCGTCTATCGTCGATCTGAAGGCTAAAAGTCATCCAAAGGTAATATATCAGCTTTTAACTATGGATATACATACTTTTAACTAATAATGACTGCCTCGCTGGCTGTGTGGTCGTAAGTGCGACTGCCGGGCAAGTGGTCTCGGGTTCGATCCCCGGGTCGGTTTCATTTTTTTAATTCTCAGTAGTAGCCCCGAGTTTGGAATTGTGCCCGGTATATGGCAATAGGCTCACCCCTATTGCCATATACCGGGCTACATAAGACATTAGTTGGATAGTTAACTCATAACATAATATCACACCTTTTATCCCCGAAGGGGTATTCAGAGGTGCACATTACGACATTTAATGCCAGTGTACCCACTTTTCACTATTTATGTTATGAGTCCCATGTAATAGGGGGTGAGCTTATTGCAACATAACACATCTTATGTTATGATTCAACCATTCTTAATTTTGACTCCACGGTTGGTGCGGTGGCTGGGCAACTCGCTGTAGCGCAACGTGTAGCAAGTTCGGTTTCCAACGGAGCAACTCTTTTTGTGATCCACAAATTGTTGTTTCGGGTTTCGGGTTTGATGTGTATCTCCCTATCGAGAATTCGAGACTGAGGCTACTACCCTTTTATTTTTTTCATTTTAAGACGGGAAAATCATCATGTGTTTCAGACTCTTACTGACTAAAAACTACCCCGTTCCTACTCCTGCACTTCGAGCCGGAGCCCCGCAACCCGTTAAGTCCTCCGTGGCTCTGTATCGGTATCAGCCTTATTGGGCCCCATCTGTGGTGGTCTAATGGCTCTTTATGGCGCGCGGTATGCGACGCGCCTTACGCTGGGGTAGTCAGTAAGAATTTGACACTCTCATCTCACCCAAGGGGGGAAGCGTTCATTAAATGATTTGCCCCGTCCTATAAAAAACTTTTTTCTTATTTTATATTTGATGGGTCGACTTTTGTCCACTATCTCGCGTGGTGGTGCACGATTATGCGGTCTACGATGGAGCACGTTGTCCCATAAGCGACATATTCACTCGGGCCATACTCAAAAAAAAAGTCAAAAGTCAAAAGCATTTATTTCAATTAGACCAGAAAGGCACTTTTGAAAGTCAACAAAAAAAAATTAACGTGTAGCTATTGACTCATTCCAAGGAATAACAATCATCATAATTCCTAACATAGTTACATGATGTTTTCATAAATAAATTGACATGGAACGGTCATAATGTTGATCTCCTTAAACCTTTCTCTGAGAGATTCGCGACGACCCAGGTTGTAGATAGCTCTGACGGCGCGCTTTTGTAAGATAAAGATATAGACTCAATGTCAGCAGCATGTCCCCATAGCAAAATGCCGTAAAACATAATGAAAGTAACTGAAATATACTTCGTGATCCGATGTATCGTTCTTATCATAATCGTAGCAAGAAGGCAATGAAGCCATTGTTAAAATGGTTTAAGTTACACAATCGTGATTATTAACATTATATCTCATTTTTTCATTAGATATGTTCGTTCAAACGAAAGGAGCCTATAATATGCTGTAACGACTGTGAACTGGTCAATGACACAAGGTCAGTACTTAATAATCTTTAAGGTTTATCATATATTTTTTTAATAATTTTGTTTTAAATGTTAATATTATTAATATAAATTAAGCCGATAAACGAGCGGACGGATCACCTGATGGCAATCGGCGTCGCCCATGGACACCTGGAACGTTACAAGGTCGCTTGTTTTTTGGGGGTTAGGAATTTGAGGATTGTTGGCGTTTTAGGGATTAGGGAAATGGGGGGGTTAATTGGGCCTCCGGTAACCTCACTTACATGTCGAAACACAACTCAAGCGTTGTTGCACGGCCGTGGCCGTGGTATCACTCCGGTCGAGCCGGCCCATTCGTGCCAAAGCATGGCTCTGGCACACATGGTGGGCTTGTCTTAATAAAATTAATTCATTCACGGTATTTTATTTTTTTTTTATTTATTTATTTATTCTTTAATGTACATAATTTGTTTATGGTACATAAGGCGAACTTAATGCCATATGGCATTCTCTACCAGTCAACCTTAGGGTTTAAGTAGAAAATCTGCGAAAACTGAGGTACGGAGAATAAACTAACAACAAAGAGAGAGAGAGAGAGAGGAAAAAATAATGGTTAATATTAAATAATATAGTTATACATATATATTACATAATAGTAAATAGTATATATAGTCATATGCATAAAATATATAGGTATAAATACATACATAAATATATATCGACGAAGACCTAGATCTAGCGTTGCAGCGATTTTAAATAAAATTCATGAACTTGGTGTTTGAAGGAGATTTTATTAGGAGCTTTTTTGATATTGAGGGGGAGCGCATTCCAAAGTTTGATGACACATATTGTAAAAGAATTAGAAATAAAAGAGGTCCGGTGGGAAGGTATCTCAAGAAGCAAGTTGTCCGTCGAGCGGAGGTTACGGTTGTGGCAACTGCCTAATAGCTGGAAGCAGGATTTTAAGTAATCTGGAGCACAAGGATCATTAAGAATAGAGAAGAGCATGCAGAGGGATCTGAGGGATCTCCTCTCACGGACAGGAAGCCATTTAAGCTGAGCGCGAAAGGAAGAGATGTGGTCGAATTTACGAAGACCGAAGATAAAGCGGATACAGTTATTGAGCATTCGATCCAATTTGTTAAGAAGGTCTTGGGATAGATCGGAGTAACAAACATCAGCATAATCAACAACAGGAAGCACAAGGGACCGGACAAGCAGAATCTTGATATTTGGTGGCAGAAAGTTCTTGAACCTGTAGAGAGATCGTAGCGTGCCAGTCACCTTCCGGCCAATCTGAGCAACCTGATAGTTCCAGTTGTCCCACTGTCCAGATACAAACCTAGATCCTTTACGTGAGGAGACAACGGTATGGTGGTTTGATTAAAAGTTATCGAATCAAGCTGATTGACATTTAGGCTATTCAAGTAATAGGAGCTACCTAAGATGAGGGCTTGACATTTGCCTACATTCACTGCAATCCCATACCTCCTTGACCAGTCTTCAATCGCAAGCAAGTCAGTGTTGAGATGTTCTATGCAAGTGTTCAAGTTAGCGATATCAGCCTGAGCGTATAGTTGTAGGTCATCGGCGTAAAGATGATAAGAGCATTTGAGGTATCGAGTGGTCACAGAAACAACTAGCAAGCAAGTGTCTTTTGTTTTCTTCCAGGAATGCTATCGTGGACACTGGAGGTGGGGTATACTTTAAAAGCGGACGGAAGGCGATAGATAGTAAGTACAGAACTTATAGATCTTTATTTTTTTATGGGATATGTCGGTAAACTAGCAGATGAAGCACCTGATGGTAAGCAATCGGCATCGCCCATGAACACCTGGAATATCAGAGGCGTTACAAGTGTGTAACCGGCCATTTGGAATTAGGATTTTGAAGATTGTTGGGGTTTCAGGGATTGGGGAGATTGGGGAAGGGGAGAGTAATTGTGCCTCCGGTAACCTCACTCACACGACGAAACACAACGCAAGCGTTGTTTCATGTCGGTCTTCTGGTCGGCCGTGGTATCACTCCGGACGAGCCGGTCGTGCCATTCGTGCCGAAGCATGGCTCTCCAAGTCCTCAATCATCCATATTACAACATCAAACTGTTGAGTCGTGTCCTCATATCGCCGCCTCGTGCCCAGCTAAGAATCGCTACATCATCGATCACCCCACTAGATTTAACCTCAATAAAACGTTCTCACGTGGCTCTCCCACACTTGAACACACCCTGTCGTAATTCCTATTAAAATTATGGTGTATTTTTCAGAATGCCTCGAGCACCTGTCCTATCTGCCGTACCCCTGTCAGACAAGAGGATTGGAAAAAATTTGGGACGATAAAAAACAGTGTAATTATTACGAAGTCAAAGTCTACGCAGTTGTGCACGGCGGGGAAAACGCTGAGAGGTCGCGGTACCCACACATGGTTAGAAAATGCAAAATATTTAATAGCATAACATACAAGCCTTTTATCTCCGTAGGGGTTCGCAGAGGTGGACATTACGGCACTTAATGCCACTGTACAATATAACACCCACTTTTCACTATTTATGATATGAGTCCCATGTAATAGGGGGTGAGCTTATTGCCATATACCGTGCACAATTCCAGACTCCGTGCTACAACTGAGATTTATTTAAAAACCCCGTTACACTTTGCCTTACCCGGGAATCAAACACGAGCCCGGTAGTCGTACTTTTTTTTTCTCATCGAATGACTGCTCCCGCCTGGGTGAGGCGGGAGGGAGTGTCAGACTCTTACTGACTAAAAACCAGCCCGTTCCTTCTCCTGCACGTCGAGCCGGAGTCCCGGTTACCCGTTAGGTTCTCCGCGACCCGGTAGTCGTACTTGCGACCACTCGGCCAACTAAGTAATCTAGAAGGCAGTATAGACGAGAAAAGATGCCTAAATGTGATTAGCTCCCATCGCACGGCCCTTCTCATGAACATTGTTTTTTAACCTTCTTCAATCTTACAGGCGCTACTAGGGTACGGACAGGAAGTCGACTCAGCACAGTGGCTGTGTGGTGGTTCCCTCATCAGTGACAGATTCATACTGACTGCCGCCCACTGCATCATAGAATCTGCTATGTAAGAATACTTAATTTTTATTCAGATTGTAAAGGAGGTTATACAAGATAGGTTTTGCATGATAGTTTTAGCCGTGCATGGATAACTGACAGGCAAGTCCTAGCGTGTATGTGACTAAACTGTACAGTTATCGGTGCATGTACAGTCAAAGGTCAAAAGTCCACTGCCACCGTGAGTGATGTTCACACGACAATGTGTAAGTATTTTTAATTTCATATTAATGTGCATAAAAACGCGTGCGTACGCATACACACGCACGCACGCGGATACAAATATGCGTGTGCATGTGTGTATAAGCGCTGCAGCGCAACCGATAGTAGTTTTACGGTGGACTTTTGACCTTTGACCGAACATGCAACCGAGCAAATATCAAAATTCATATTTTATGTTTATGCCGCTCTGTTATGTTTGCGCACGAGCATAACCCAGCGTGTGTGGCGTCCAGCGAGCTTGCCTGCATCAGTTCTCAGTTTTTTTATTTTCCCAATAGTTTGGTATTGGCGTCCTACACACACCGTCACGTTTTTTTTATGGCATAAGCCGGTAAACGAGCAGACGGATCACCTGATGGTAAACAATCGGCGTCGCCCATGGACACCTGGAACACCAGAGGCGTTACAAGTGTGTTACCGGCCTTTTGGGGATTAGGAGTTTGAGGATCGTTGGGTATTCAGGGATTGGGGAGATTGGGGAAGGGGAGGGTAATTCGGCCTCTGGTAACCTCACTCACACGACGAAACACAACGCAAGCATTGCTTCACGTCGGTTTTCTGTTCGGCCGTGGATCACTCCGGTCGAGCCTGCCCATTCGTGCGGAAGCATGGCTCTCCCACACTTACTACGTACTACGTAGCTCACTCAAGTGAGAGTTCGTAGCAAGATGGTGCATGCAAAACCTAACATGTATAGGTATGAAACTCAGTTATGCTCGTCGGTTTTGCATGCACAGTTGAAACCATCATGCACCCTAGCGTGTGTGGCTTACTTAACCGGAACGCTGGCAAGAAGAAATTGTTTGACAATTTTAATCGTGTTTGTATTCAAGTTATTCAGCATCAGCCTTGAGCAGTTGATTGCGACTATTATTATATATGTCGGATAGTTAGATAGACTTAATGTGGACGAACATGGGTACCGTGTAAATAAGAATAGCGTTTGATCTGATGCAGTGATGCCGATACAGAACCGTGGAGGACTTAACTGGTTGCCGGGGCTCTGGCTCGAAGGGCAAGAGTAGGAACGGGGTGGTTTTTAGTCAGTAAGAGTCTGACACTCCCTCCTGTCTCACCCATGCGAGAGCAGTCATTCGATGACTTTCCCCCTTAAAAAAATGGCAGTCGTGAGATAGGGTGCCCAAACGAAGGAAGCCAGTAAAAATATATTTTGATTTTTTCAGAGGACCTGTGACGTTCGTGGCTATGGGTATCCTAAAGAGGTCGGATCCCATGAAGTTGTGGCAGATATATAAAGTCAGGAGAATCATGCAACATCCGGAGTACGCCCCACCTTCGAAATACAATGACATCGCCTTGATCGAGATTGATAGACCGTGAGTAACAGTTGTATTATATACCGACGTCGTTGTTTCCTCGTTGGCCGAGTGTTCGCAAGTGCGACTGCCGGGCAACGGGTCTCGGGTTCAATTCCCGGGTCGGGCAAAGTATTATGGGTTTAAAAAAAGTCTCAGCAGTAGCACGGACTCTGGTATTGTGCCCGGTATATGGCAATAGGCTCACCTCCTATTACATGGGACTCATAACAGATAGTAAAAAGTGGGTGTTACATTGTACAGTGGCATTAAGTGCCGTAATGTACGCCTCTGCCTACCCCTTCGGGGATGAAAAGGCGTGAAGTTATGAGATGATGATGACACGAGTATTTATTTTCTCCTTCTCCCATAATTATATTAATGATTATTCATGACTCATGATTATAAGTCGGTAAACGATCAGACGGATCACCTGATGGTAAGCAATCGGCACCGCCCATGTTTCCCAGAACATCAGAAGCGTCACATGTGCTTTAGCGGCGCTTTGGGAATTAGGAACTCGAAGATATTTGGGGTTTTGGGGATTGGGGAGTAGCGGGGTAAAAAATTTGGCCTCCGGTAACCAACGAAACACAACGCAAGCGTTGTTTCACGTCGGTTATCTGTGAAGCCGTGGTATCACTCCGGATTCACTTCGTCGCGGAAACCAAGCCAGTTGTTCATGTCCCTGGGACGCGCCAGACTTCAGTGTTCCGGTGTGAACTATCTATTATTTCCATAATTCATTTGATCCATCTGCTGGTTTACCGGCTCAATCAATAAAGAAGTATTTGAAAATCGCAGTTCAAAACGAGGGTTCATCAGAGAGCGCTGCTGACCGGTCTCTCTCAAATATGTAGTGTCTTAGTCGGGTATACGACACCCGCGGGAAGAGCACTACACTCTGTCGTCGTCACATCATTAATCTCTTCGTGCAGTCCCGTTGTTTGAGGTTCGGGTATACGACACCCGCGGGTAACGGTGGTGACATATAATTATTACTCTGTCGTGACACCAATACCTATATTTATTTGATTGCAGTGTACAATATAGTAAGGACGTGTTCCCAGCGTGCTTAGATTACGAAGGCCAAGACCAGTTCAATGCCCAGGCCACAGGCTGGGGTAAACTCGGCAAGCATCAACCATTGGCTGATAATCTACAGACGGTGAGGATATGGAGTCTTCTACTTTGAACAGAGAGACCGTACACAAAAATAAGACATAACATCACGCCTTTTTATCCCCGAAGGCAGAGATGCACATGGATGCCCAATTATCTTCCCCTTCCCCAATCTCCCCAATCCCTGAATCCCCAACGATCCTCAAACTCCTAATCCCCAAAACGCTGGTGACGCACTTGTAAAGACTCTGGTGTTCCAGGTGTCCATGGGCGACGCCGATTGCTTACCATCAGGTGATCCGTCTGCTGGTTTACCGGCTTCTGCCATAAAAAAAAATATCAGAAAGACCATTCGTCGTGTTGTAGATTAAAAGGAAAAAACGAATCATTTTAGATCTTCCTCTACTAGAAAAGTAATCAGATGCCGAAGCATTTACTGTTGCCCTCGCTGTCCTTCGCATTGTACTGGCCCGGTTGTCCTCTGCTCTGCACCCGAAGGTCTTTGACCTCCGCACCGCATTGCCTCACTGTATTTTTATTATGAATATTCACTTATAGGGAACACAGAGTATAAGTTCCCTAAGATCGGAAAAGGAGGATCCTCCGACCAGGCAAGGTGATCGTGCCTGGCGGGCTTTCAGCCCAACAGTTGTTCGTTGGGATTTTCTATCCGTGTTAATTTGTATGTGCGATGTAGGATGTTGTGACGTCATCCGTTGACATGTACCATGTGTCGCTACACGCTCATCTCTGCTTCACCTCGCTCATGCTGTTTCCATTAACGACTGCACGGTTCGTGCGGTGGCTGGGCAACCGGCTGCCGTGCAACGTGTCGCGAGTTCGATTCCCGCACGGAACAACTCTTTGTGTGATCCACGAATTATTGTTCCGGGTCTGGGTTGTCATTGTGTATGTGAACTTGTATGTTTGTAAACTCACCCACGACACAGGAGAAAAACCTAATGTGGGGCAACGTTTAAAAAAAAAACAAAAAATAAATTGAAGCGGAGCGGAGATGTTGACCATAGTGGTCAACTAGTGCACCAATGGAAACGCAGCCTTAAAATCATTATAATATGTCTTTCAGGTAAATAAATAAATAAATAAGCCTTTATTTCGTTCCCATAGTAACAATGATACATTTCAATTAGTTATAATTTAACAATACAGAAGTTCAATATAATAAATATCATCTAATAATTCTATTAGTAATTAATTTAGTCTTTCAGGTAACACTACAAAAATTCTCAAGTGAACAGTGTCTGAAGAATTACCCGCCTCATCGGCTTCTGAAGCAGGGATACAACTCAGAGACACAGCTCTGTTATGGAGATTTGAAGGAACCCAAAGATACTTGCGAGGTAATATTATTTTAGTTCTTTTTTACAGGTGCGCTCCGCCTATAATTTCAACTACAACATAACATCACATCAAGCCTTTTTATCCCCGAAGGGATTGGCAGAGGTGCACATTTCGGCACTTAATGCCACTGTACAATGTAACACCAACTTTTCACTATTCATGTTATGAGTCCCATGTAATAGGGGGTGAGCCTATTGCCATATACCAGGCACATTTTCAGACTCCGTGCTACTACTGAGATTTTTTGAAAAAACCCAGTAATATTTTGCCCGACCCGGGAATCGAACCCGAGACCCCTTGTCCGGCAGTCGCAATTGTAACCACTCGGCCAACGAGGCAGTCTGGCAGTCTGGTAGAGGCTGCTGCTGGACTATCGGCCTCCTCTACATGAGACGGTTTGTCATAAGCTCCGCACTCAACAAGGCGGCTTGCAAACCACAGGTTAAGTCAAAAGATTCAAGGTTTTTCAGATATTGATCTAGCTCTGTCAAATATATAGTTTCTTACTATAGGGGAAGGCCTATGTTCAGCAATGGACATTTTGTGGCAAAAACGATGCTGATGATAAATTTTCCATCATACAAACTGCACCTTAATCTACTCTAGCGCCATCTATGTAGCATAGTTAGTAGTCGCGGAGAACCTAACGGGTAACCGGGGCTCCGGCTCGACGTGCAGGAGAAGGAACGGGGTGGTTTTTAGTCAGTAAGAGTCTGACACTCCCTCCCGCCTCACCCAGACGGGAGCAGTCATTCGATGATTTTCCCACCTTAAAAAAAGCGCCATCTATGTAGCAAAGTTAACGTTAAATCATTTCATTCATTTTTCTCCAGGGTGACAGCGGAGGCCCTCTACAAGTGACACCACGCCTTTCAAAATGTCTGTATAGCATCATAGGTGTGACGTCATACGGGCGAGCATGTGGGTATGCAGGCGACGCCGGGATGTACACGCGAGTGTATCACTACGTGCCATGGATAGAGAGCGTCGTGTGGCCTGGACGGCAGTAACATTCTCCCGCTCCCCCTCCCCCAACCCCAAAATCCCAATCCCCAATCCCAGCACCGCACTTGTAACGCCTCTGGTATTCCAGGTGTCCATGGGCGACGCTGATTGCTTACCATCAGGTGATCCGTCTGCTCGTTTACTTTCCTATGCCATGAGAATTAAAAGTTTTTTTTTCAAAACAGGTGTTTTCTTTTCTGACATTTGACAAAATATCTCTAGTATTTTAATGTAGGATTCTTAGGTTAAGGACGCGGGAGAAAATCACGCTGTGAGTCCTTAGTCTTAGGAAGAATGTAATAAATAGGGTAGTTGGAAGTATAGCCAGCAGGTCAACCTGGTACTCAAATCTGAAAATTGTTTTCATTCGTTTTTAGACTTTACCACTAAACGAGTAGGTTTAAAAACTACTTAATAAATAAAGAGAAAGTCAAAGTCAAAGTCAAAGCATTTATTTCAATTAAACCATAGTTTGGTACTTTTGAAACGTCAACAAATAGTTACAAAATAAATAATAGTCTGTCAGTCAGTACGTCAGTGAAATTAGGATTAGGAGAGGAAGGATAAGGTTGTTGTGCTGCCATCAGTACGACTGTACGATAGTATACCCCGTGAAATCTATTTTTATTTCCGTCCCGCGACAAAACAACTTGCCATAACGAGTACTTTCGATGTACAAAGCAAAAACAAAAAAATAAAGCCGCCATTTTTTTTAGTTTAATATTTTTCATATAACTACGCACATGAAACACTAGACGTTTTGTAGGCACTATTCGCATCGCACGTGCCACCCGACGAGAAATACCTCTTCGAGAATTACATGGCGTGATGTTTTGATAATGTACTATGAGTTCACCAGTTATTTTTTGTTTTAAACATTTTATTTCTTTGTAAAACTATTGTATACCAAGACAAGCCATTTTACTTCGGGACGAAAACTAAATAGATTTCACGGTATAGAAGCAATTGTAAAAAAAGAAAAAAGTAACTGGAACATAGAATGACATCATCGTCGATCAGAAAGACATCCACTGGTAAACAAAGTGGTCCTTTACAACCAGTGGATGAGTAGGCAGCGGTCAGTGAGCCCAAAATAAAACAATATACAAAATTAATTCTAATTGATTTATTTAATGATTTTTGATAATTACTACTATAGTCAAAACTACATTTAAATATCATTTTACTAGGTATATATCAATGCCTTTTACTCCCCGAAAGGGGTAGACAGATATACAGATATGGGATGTGACTCCCACGTTTCAACAGTAATGATATGAGTCCCATGTAATAGAGGGTGAGTCTAGTGTCATATACCAACATACTGTACAATTGGGTTGTGTACAGGGTATCAAAATTAAAAATCTAATTAGTCCGTCAGTTAGATAATAAAAAAAATATAAGACACGTATTTTTTTATTTTCGTTGCAATACTTAGACAAAATGGCGCTAAGTTTAGGAGTGGGAGGTCGTTACGTCATAACGTGCTACAAAATGTGGCACGATGTGATGTCACACGATATTTCAAATTAATATATCGTCGAAAGCATTTAATTTTGTGAGAAAATAAAAAATAACATTAAGTAAATAGGTAAAGTTTTAAATTAATCTACTAGACGGACATTAAAATAACGGACATTAATTAGGCATCTGGTTATTACTGACAATTTAGGAAATCCAAAAAGCTCAATAATACTGTATTTGATTTGGGAATTGAACCTATGTTTTACTCAGCAATCGTGGCTAAATGATAATTTCATATTTGACTAAAAGTCAGAATGGTGAAAACTGAAAGAAAAGAAACTGAAAGTACTGAATGGAATTTGATGAAATTTGGTATACGACAGGGTCCTATTATGTACATAAGTCAGCCCGACTTAGGTGGTAGGATACTATTTATCCCGATTAAATGCTCCCACGGGATGGAAGAAGAATATACGGGCACAGCCGCGGGTAAAAGCTAGTTAATTATAATTTAACATAATTTACTTAATTCACGTTAATTTTTTACATAATTTGTGTGCAAGAAACTCCATATTTGTTCTTGGAATCATGGTGACATAAGGAAGATGACTATTTAGTACGTCAGTTAAATTGTTTTATTGTAGTTAAACTTATAAATATATTCCTATAACCAATTTTATGAACTATGCAACTATGTTAATAGGAATGAAGTAAGTAGGGTGTTCCTTGTCTATGGTCCACAGATAATATTAGATATTAATTAATCTATCATTTCAGCAAAATAACTCTGTCTGTGGACCATGGACAAGACTTCATTTTACATTTTTTAGCTTGTATTTTATTTTTATTTTTCAATTACCTATGTTATGTGTGGTCTGCGCAAGACTAAATGGTTTTTGTTTCTTTCTTTCTTCTAAATAATGAGAAAATCTTAACAGACTAACGCCTGAATACTGAAAGGTTACTCTGACGTTATATTCTTCCATAGTAAAAAAAACTGTCATGTGTCAATCTTTCATTTACACTGTACCTATCATAAGTCTTATGTTTAATTTCCTTTTCTTGTCGCAGGTCTGCAGGAAGAAATGCCCTAAGGGATATGCAGTACCTATGTACCTCATGTTTGTAATGTGTTGTCCTTTGTAATATTGTCTGTGTGGTGTAGGTACATGAAATGATAAATAAATAAATAAATAAATAATCTTATTCTACAGAAGAATTTTATCTGTAGAATAAGATTGACACATGACAGTTTGACAAACTGGTGATTGAAAAATTATCCATTATAATAGTTTTTTGTAATAGATATAAACTGAATTTAACGTTTAACAGATTCTTTGTCATCGCTCAATATAAAATTTATTTTGTTTATAGTATATTACTGGTAAAAATTTATATTTTGACATAACATAACATCACGTCTTTTACCCCCGAAGGGATAAGCAAAGGTGGTACATTACGGCACTTAATGCCACTGTACAATGTAACACCCACTTTTCACTATTTATGTTATGAGTCCCATGTAATAGGGGTTGAGCCTAATGCCATATACCGGGCACAATTGCAAACTCCGTGCTACTACAGAGATTTAAAAAAAACGGTATTTTAAGATTCAAGGGTCATAATAATCTGGGGGCCGATATTATTCATTAATCTACTAAAACTGTTAGTCATCTTCCCTATTGTAATTTCAAGTTAATAAATATGTATTTATTTGATTATATTGTGCTAAATATGTGTACATCATACAAGGTGTTTCATAATTCAATAAATAAAATAAGTATTTCTTGTAAAAACATAAGTTTTCTTTAAAAAAAAAAGTATCGTGTAAGTTCGACAATTATAATTTGAGAAAAACTTTCGGAGTTAACAATGACATGTGCATCTAATCAATTATTGTAATTACTTTTAAATTTAAAAAACAAGCAAGAATAAAACAATAAAAAAACAAAACTCAAAAACACAAGGGCCAATATAAGTTGCGCGCCATCTATTACATAATTCTTGAAACTATACTTCCCATATACCTAAATAGGTGGCGTTATACTTTTTTCATAATAAAACACCTTGTATGTCTGTGAGTGTGTATGTTTGTGTGTCCGGCGCGATCTCGGACGCCGCCGGGAGGGGGCGCGCTATGGAGGAGTCATGCTGCCACCATACTCAGGGGATGCACCACGACCTGAAGAAGATAAGGGATATTTTAAGAAGATATGTACACGAATCTTTTTTTCTATTAAAACGTACCCATCAACAGAGTACATTTTTTACTATAGTCATTCCCCGTGGATTTCCTCCTGTATCGTACACACGGCTTTACATAGCCAGTATAAACTGAACGTTGAATGTGCGGAAAGATGATGCGACGCGACACCAAGATAAACTGGTTTTGTATAGATTGATGTGTGGCCGTGTGTACGAGGTGCGTTTACAAACACATAATTTTACATTAGAACAAGAACAACAATTTGTTAATCAAACAAATAATTGTTTCGTGCAAGAATCGCGAATTACACACCAGTCAGCTGTCCAGATATTGCAGTAACTGTACTGTGAAATTTAAATAATGGTTCCCGAACATGCAAATTATGAAAGTGCCTACATCATGTCATCGTCTAAGATTACCAGCATATCAAGATTCATGCTACTCCTAAAAAAGGTCCTTCACCTTTTTTAGTACAATTTATTATTTAACATTTGATATAATTCAGAATTTTTGAAACTAGGTATTTTTAAAAAAAAAAACGTTGCCCCACTCTCGGATTCCTCATGTGTCGTGGGTGCGTTTACAAACATAAAAATTCATAAAATTTCACATACACATTACACCCAGACCCGGAACAACAATCTGTGGATCACATAAAGTGTTGTGCCGTGTAAGAATCGGATCCACGACACATTGCGTTGCAGCCAGTTGTCTAGGTAGTGGAATTCTTTGCCAGAGTCTGTATTTCCTGAAGGGTTTAACGGATAACCTGGGTGTCTTCAAGGCCCGAGTGAATAGATTGCTTATGGGACAACGTGCTCCATCGTAGGCCGCATCATCGTGCACCACCACGCGAGATAGGGGTCAAACGTCGGCCCACCAAATAACGCGCCAACAAATTGGAATAAAAACCTTATACCTCCTCTTGAATAGGAAAAAATAGTATTGTTGTTACCTCGGCCTCTGCCGCGGCCTCTACCCCTGCCCCTCCCGCGGCCGCGTCACCTTCTTCCATCGCCCAGACCCACCATGTCTGCAAGAAGGGGTATACAGAAGTATATTAACCGTAACATTTATTCTTGTAAGTCGTGTGTGTAGAGGATTCGATCCCGGGATCCCGAAGCCCGGGATCCCGGGATCCCGATCAAATTTCGGTCCCGTAATTTTCGGGATTATTTTTTAAGTATCCCGGGATTTTCGGGATTGCAATTTATGCTCTTACCAATGCATTTTGAGATTCATTTTTGTGATGTAGAATAAAAATATGCATGAAACGAAGCGAAACGCACGTTAGAAGTTTTAACGGCCATCTTGTTTACACATCTGATTTCATTTGTAATTGCTAACTGATCTTTTTGAGATCATTAAACAAGAAATGAATCTTTATGAAGCTAGTTCCACACAAGGCTATAATTTGGAGAAGACTTATAAAAAATTATTGACGATTTCTCCAACTTCCATTGAGCCTGAGCGCGCTTTTTCTGCCTCTTCATATTTGTGCAACAAATTAAGAAGCAAGCTTTCTGATGAGTCGTTGGATGCTTTACTATTTCTTCGATATTATTTTCGAAGTTGAAAGAAATAATTTATAAATTACCTTGTATTACTGATCTCTTTAGAATTAAGTTATTTTAGATTTTTATCTAAACAAGTGTTTAGAAGTTGATTTTTTAAAGATTTTATGTGAATCAAAATAAACAAACTATTACACTAAGTAAAGAAGTTCCTTGTTTGTTTGTTTATTATTTTATTAGAAGAAAATATTATTTTTGTTTCGTTTTTTGTAGATTGAACTGATGATTAATAGTTGATTTTGATATATAAGTTACTGTCTTTCTGTTACTTCTTTCTATCCCGGGACTGTCCCGGGATCCCGGGATTGACTTTAGATAATCCCGAAATCCCGGGACTGGAAAAATGGGCCGGGATTGAATCCTCTACGTGTGTGTGATTAATCCAATAAGTTTAAATATTATATGGCAATATGCTGACCCCTATTACATGGGACTCATAACATAAATAGTGAAAAGTGGGTGTTACATTGTACAGTGGCATTAAGTGCTGTAATGTGCACCTCTGCCTATGGGGATATAAGGCGTGATATTATGTCATGTAAGTTTAAATCTTGTACTTTACAGAGACCATTAAAAAATACAATAATATATACTTCTTTACTTAACTCTGAGATCAAACCCAAAGTCTCTTCTTAGGCAATTACTTCGACCGAAGAAGTAGTTGGCTACCTCGTAGGCCAAGTGTTCGCAAGTGCGAGTGCCGAGCAAGAGAACTCGAGTTCGACTCCCGGGTCGGGCAAAGTATTACTGGGCTTTTTAAAATTTCTCAATAGTAGCACGTAATCTGGAATTGTGCCCAGTATACGGCAATAGGCTGATCCTTTATTACATGGAAATCATAACATAAATAGTGAATAGTGGGTGTGACATTGTACAGTGGCATTAAGAGCCGTAATGTGCGTCCTCCGCCTACCCCTTCGCGGATAAAAGCCGTGATGTTATTATGTTATGTTAGATTTGGCGTGAAAGAGTAACAATTACACATTCTCAATAGCTTTCGCATGAATAATACTACAGACTAGTGCAGACTATACCTATATTGGTAGCTGTCTTCTCAAGATATGCCAGTGGTCCCTGGAGTGGTGTGGCGGCATAGGCTCCTCGTCCACCAGCCAGGAACATACCTTGAGCCAAGCTGTTCTGCATCTGTTAGGAGTTTACACCACATTTCTCTACAGATAATCCAGAAATGAATAACTTTATGCTTACATGCTGGTCTGGATTCTAGACTCAGATAATGTTAAGACTGTGAACGGTTAACAGGAGAGCTAGCCGCATTATCTGAATCGTTAGTTTCTTCGACAATCCCCAACTGACAACTACAAGTCAGACTAGAATCCAGACAAGTCAAGTCAAGACTAGACAAGTCAGACTGACAAGCATGGTGATTATGGTAAACGTCATTTTAAAAGAGAGGCCTTTCTCAACAACCCATCTTCCAGGAGATCATCCTATTACTGGTCATCATGCGACGATGGTCATATACCTATAAAGATAAAGCTGCCTAGCGACGCAGAAAGAGAAAACGTATTAGAACGTTTATTTAATTTTGCTGGTTATTTTATTTTTATTTATTTTTACATAGTAACCCCATCAGCTTATTTAGTAAAGGGTAAGTACATCACTACTTAGTATAAAACAAAGTCGCTATCCGCCGACTGGCTGTCCCTATGTATGCTTAGATCTTTAAAACTACGCAACGAATTTTGATGCGCTTTTAAATAGATAGTGATTATAAAGGAAGTTTTATATGTACCTCTATAATACATACATATTGCACCCGTGCGAAGCCGGGGGGGGGGGGGGTCCGCTAGTATATAATAACGACAAGGCATAGAAACTTTAACTCGTCGAGTACCGGTTTTGTAGACACAATTATAGAACAATAGGTTGCGGTCACCGGTGACCGCTTGGTGTTTGACAGTTTAAGCCAATTACAGAGTTTTTCAGCAAGCAGGTTAGGTTAAGCAGGAGAGTGAACAATACAAAATAAAATTAAAGAAACAAGGAAAATTTATACAACCAGCCATAAGTAAGGAATGTAATAACGCTATAAGGGTCAAACCCTAGTGAGTACAGTAAAACCCGCTTAAGACGATTTCTCAGGGACCTTACCAAAAACGCGTCTTAAGCGAGAAAGCGTATTATGCGGGATAGGGAAAATAAAAAAAGTACTACTTATTATTATGTAATATGTTCTAATTTTTGTAATTATACATTTATAAATTACGTTAAATATGTAGTGTAATTAAAATTACATTATTTAAAATAATACAAGATTTTGATGCATTAGCAATTAAAAGATTTTCAACATAATTCAACTTTTGCAGTGCGTCTTCGCTTTGATCCATAGAAGCTACATAGCGTCTTAAACTGTCAAACACCAAGCGGTCACCGGTGACCGCAACCTATTGTTCTATAATTGTGTCTACAAAACCGGTACTCGACGAGTTAAATCATAAACAGCTGATAATGCCTGGGCGTTTGACAAAACCGGAGTTGACTCATCTTCGTCTTCATCATTATCACTTAGGGCTTCGTTTTGTATGTTGTACACATTCTCAATAAGATCTTAAGTTGATTGAATTTCGTACGGTGCTACATTGTCATCAATAGAAGAGTATCCAGGAAAACCCTGCAGTATCTCGGGTTCTTCTTCCTCCAACACGACGTCAACCACGTTGTTTCTGATCGATCTGCGCGGCGTGTATTAAACGGGATGAAGAATCGTATTAAGCGTTAAGAAATGTATGAAAATATGTTTTAAGTTGCAGGGACCGACGTAAAATGGCGTATTATGCGAGAAATCGTATTAAGCGTGATCGTCTTAAACGGGTTCTACTGTATTTGTAAGCGACTTACGAAATAATGCCTTTGACAAATTATGTGCACTATGAAACTTGTTTTTACAATAACTATCGTGAGACATACTAAATTAACTAATAATCGCGGGTTACTCACGTGAATATACTGAGAAAAGCTTTACTAGTTTCGAAGCAGCGGCGCGCCGGACGATGTTGACGCGCACGGTACGTTCACCAGCGGCGCGGGTATTGGGTTCAATTTCGGGTTCGGCACAAAGTCAGTGCTACATATAACGCTTACTGTGTCACACTCCAGACTAGAGACGCTGCGGATCGACGTAGACTCCAAGCTCGGCTTCCACGAGGGTGGCAGTACCCAGCCACTATCTCTGTTGAAGCATGGACGTCGGCTAATCGATGGCCTCTCGCACTTTTCGCCGAACGAAGTATTTTTCCCTCGCTCATGAGGAAGAACCTCTCTATAGTTCGAAACTAGTAGAGCTTTTCTAAGTAACGTGAGTAACCCGCGATTTTTAATTAACTTTCAAACTTGTCTGTGTAAATGCGAGGTAGTCGAGTCATAACAGCATTTTTCCCATAATTTGTGCTATGTGAGGTAGGTATACCCACCTACTAAGCAAGTGAGTATTGGGTACTTTCCTGGGTTAATAATATATTGTTTTGATTTTTCAGACCAATTTAATATTGAAAAATAGTTACACTTTCATTAATTGATTTGCCGATATACTTAATCGTCGATTTATTCTTGTATTTTTTTTAGATATAAGTGTGCTATTTGACGCGAAAACATGATGACGTCATAAGATGGTATTTCGTACAAAATTCATAGAACAGTATCGTTTTTGACGATTCGATAAGAGTATTGAATTTGACTAGTTGTCTACTACCGTACCTATTATTGCCAGTTTGCCAGTTCAATCGGTCTACCTTTTTCGATTCGTCGTCTCACTCATAATGATGATGATGCTTTCTGATTACTAAATTTTTCTTGTTTTGAAAATGTACAAAATTAACCTATAATTTTTTGAATCCGTGTAGAGCCATCTGTTGGTACAGTTACTCGATATTTTTGTTATGCGACACAGCAATAGATGTCACCACAAATGTATTGATAAGTTGATATAATACCTTTTTACACCCTAGATACTTTCTTTTTGTGTTGTTTTTTTTTTTGTTCGTGTACTATGTGTTTTTATTTCTTATAAATATATGGAGCCACTACATCATCAACAGCCTATAAGTGGCCACTGAGGAAAGCCTCTTTTCACACGGAGAAGATCACCTTAATCACCACGCTTGCTCAATGCGGGTTGGCGATTTCAAACTTAAAATTAGAAATTACTAGCTTTTACCCACGGCTTCACTCGCGTCACAAAAGGATTAAAAGTAGCCTATGTGACATATATCAATACACACAGCGCCATCCATACCAATACTTTTGTTTTCCCTCGGGAATATCAAATTTTTTCGGGATAAAAAGTACCCTATTATTTAATCCGGACTTCTAACTTTACGTCTGCAAAAATTCAAAGCAATCGGTTTAGTAGTTACGGCGTGAAAGCGGATCAAACAAACAAAAAAAACTCACTTTCCGATTTATAATATTAATAAGGATAAGTCCAGGCTTCCTCACGATGTTTTCCTTCACCGTTTGTCAGTGGTGTCTAAATAATCTTAGAAAGTACATATAACTCGGAAGAAGTCACATTGG